CCGGCTTATATTGATTAGGTGCTTGTCGGGAAGGGAGCTTTGAAAGGAGGGGGGAAAGCTCGGAAGCGGGGAAGCTAATTCCAGACTTACTCTCCCAACTTACATAAAAGGTCATCTTTGGCTCAGTTACGTCAATCAATTAGTGGCAAACTCCAAAACGTTCAGGCACTTTTTTACTCCATCCCGTCATTCTTTGTATTTTGCTCCTTCCAATTCCATCTTTGGACTGGAAATCACTAGATATCTTATCGCCAATACCCTTCCGAGATCGGGTCCCGGGCTTGGCGGGAAGCTGTGAAATGTTACCACCCGACTCGGCGGCGTTCACCGGTTTGCCTGCCCGGGACCTTTCCCCTGGTCAAAAAACATCGTATCACATTGCATCCCCTGGCCGTCGTGGCCTGATACTAACGACAACAGGCTTGCACATATATGCATATATATTTGCCACATCGACTTGCAACGCCGAAGGATGCCGTCTGCCTGCGCGGGCTGCCAAACATAGCAATCCGATCAGCCAGCCAGTTCACAAAAATTATCAAAACATAATCTTCGCATTCCGCTATAAGCATCATAGATCCCATATAGTCATACCCACGTATCAACAACATATTCACGTCCCCTCTTCACTGGAGCCATGTGACCATAAACAAAGACACTGGTACTCCAACTTTACCCCATCCACAGCCCAACCTCCAAACGCCGTGCCTAACCGTCGCCAAAGCTCATCAGTGTGAAAATATAAAACTAAAAAGTCCTCCATCCTTCGCTCATGCGAAACATCTTGAATAAAAAATACAACATGTGTCAGAAGTTAAGTAAGAAATCCGCCTATCCATACAGACTTAAAGAAAATGAGGTGTGAGGAGATCACCTCAGGGTATACCCTCATAAATACCGAACGGGTCACGCTAGAAATCCAGCTGTTGCTAACTGCTGGTGTTGCCGTTCTCCTCCTTTGTTGGGAGTTGAAGCCCGGCACTTTGAGCAACCCGCTTCCACGTTTCCATTTCGCGATACAGCCTATCGCACTCTTGCTTCAGTTTGTCGTTGGACGCACTAAGCTCAGCGATTGCCTGTTCGGTCAAAAGCTTTTCAAGGGTCCATTTCTCAATGTTTTGTGACTCGTTCTCTTTGAGCTGCGTGATGAAAGCCACGGCTCGTTGAAGGATGGAGCCCTTGTTTTTCTCGCAACCTGGAACGATTTTGGCCAACTCATTGATGCCCTCGTTGATCGTCTCGCGGCGACGACGCTCGACTGAACGCTTGTCAGTAACGGCTTTGTTTATTGCCTAGAAGAGCAAACTAGACTTACCTTCTTTGTGGTTATCTTTGCGCATCTTGTGCCACTCCTCTGAACCAACTGCAGGTTTGTTGCTGGGCCCGGAACTGTAACGCTGATCCGCTTGAACATCACTGGACGGTTGAACCGGAACCGACGGGGCCATGGTGGGCAAGCCGTGGGGTTGAGAAACTGCAGAACCATTGAATCCGTTGTCATCATGATGAGCCTCGGCTGTAGACTGGGTGACAAAAGTTTCTTCGGTCGGCTGAGGCACGTGTAGTGAAGGATACATGGTGTTTAGTGCGGCGGCGGCAGCTGTGCTTGAGACGTTGTTGGTGTCTGAGTGGTTTTCTGCGTGGTCGTTGGCTGTGGCCTGGGCGAGAACATTGAAGTCATCAACGTTGATTTGGTTATGGGCGGCCTGTGCGATGCTGACAGTATTTTCCATGAAAGCCTGGGCTTCCGCGTCGGTAACAGTCATGGCCGCGGCGGGCGCACCACGTTTGTTACGTCGAGAGTCAGGAGAGATGGACTCGGTGTTGCGCTTCCGTTTGTGGCCAGGGCTGGTAGTGATCTCGGAAAGATCAGGATGTTGCTCAATGCCCACAGTTGTCATTGCGTATGCTAACTGCTATTTTACAACTTTGATCAACATGAGGTCAATCACAAGCCAGCGACAGCGACAGTGTGACGTTTACTGAGAATTTGATGAGAATGACCAAGCACTTGCTTGGACCTGGAAGAGAATGGCTCATTTGGGCATCGGGTTGGCCGTGAATGGTCATATATTGACCATATCGATGAAGTAAAAGTTGGTGTCTCTAGTCACAAGCAAAGCGCATGCGAAAAAAAGAGAGCGCTTGCGACGACAATAAATGGCGCCATCATCGGACTTCCGTTGCAACAGACAGACAAACAGGCATGTTGTCGTCGAAGATTTTGGGTGCTGGCTGTCGCTTTCACCAAGGAGATGCTCTTTTTGAGCGAGGATGAGTTCTTGAATTCCTTACCTCTGCACTCGAATTTGCTGGGTTTAGGTCGTAGGTCATGTGAAAAGAACGAAGAACGTGCCCGAAAACGTGACGAGGACTGCGGAAGTCAGCAAGGACCCACGTATTAGCTGCAAAATAATGCAAAAAAGTAAAGTGCATCAATGAGAATGAATTCGCAGAGCGAGACAATTCCAAAACATACCAGTTATCAATAGATTTGCTATTTGGGACTTGGTGGTGGTGGTGGTGGTGATTTTCTGAAGACTTGAGAGAGAGAACGGGGAGATCATGTGAGCGAAGGCTGGACGGGAAGGCGGACGCCTGCTGAGCCTTGATCAAGGGTGGGTGGGAAAACGCGGTACCCCCGGCGCGACGCACAGACCAATTTTGAACTCATGCATGTCAACTTGATCATCCTCACAGTGCTCAATGCTCACCTCCCTCCTTCCCTCTTTATTCCCCGGTCAATTCTAAACACTCCACCACCACCATCCCGTCGCCTCCGGCCTCCCACACTTTTCCCATCCAACAACCAAAGCACGTGTCTCTTCACAGTGTTCGGCACATAGTATCAGGTTGCCTACTCCGCCGTATCCGCCTTCATTGATAAGGACCTCCTGACAGCTAAAAGTAGATAGTGTAGTGAGACAAAAAGTGCACATGATTTCCTCAATTGGAGGGTTGGTGTTCCGTCACGAGGAAGATGATCCATACCCTTCACACCATAAAAGTTGAGAAGCGGCCGTATTTCTCTTCATGATGGTGGTCCGTCCAACGTCAACCGTTAAACCATGTAATTAATTATTTGCGGAAGATCCCACCATGGGAACCACTGGACACACACCAACAAATCGGATGACTGCCCCTTGTTGAAAAGAAAGCACGGTTCAGGCGCGTGGCGGGCGGGGGGACCAATCGGTCATCGGTCTTTGATGGCATCGCTTAACCTCCAGCATCCAATATTCCCCAACCGCAACCCCTCCAAATATTCCATACTCTAAATCCAACCCAACCAACCTGAAATTCCCTATTTTGGTTGCATGTCGCCGAAGCTTCCTTGGTGATAACCCCCAACTTTTTTGAATCATGGCAGACTTTGGGGCTTCCAAGATAAACCATGATAGTCATCTCCTACTGGTAAGGCCAAACGACGTCATTGGAATTATTCCCCATCCATCATCGCTGACCCCATCGTGTCCAATTTCACCAGGACCAACCCCTACTTCGACTACCGTACGAGCTCCTACGAAAGAATTTTAGATCTGCCCACGTAGCGTACCTGAAAGACTCCAAGTATGTGACCAACCTCGTCAAAGAGACAGCCGGCGGCTCCATAAACGGCAAGGTCAAACCCCAAGATGTCGTCAAGAACCTCGACCTCATGCTCGCCAAAATGCGCGGCCTCAAGCGCAAGATAGAAACCTACTCTGAAGAAGAGAATCGACTCTACCGGCAATCCAATGCACGCGTGTCCCATCTCCGCGAGCTCTCAAGCATTCACACCGTCGATGATGTCAAATACGAACAATGGTCTCGAAATCGCCTCGACCGTTTGGTAGTAGATTATATGCTCCGACATGGCTACATAGAATCAGCTTCGGCACTGGCCAAAGAGCGCGACATGTCGGACCTGGTAGACATTGATACCTTTGTCAACATGTCCAGGATCCGGCAGTCCCTGCTCAACGGCAGTGTCAACGAGGCTCTAGCCTGGTGTAACGAGAACAAAAAGGAACTACGCGCCCTGCAGAGCAACCTCGATTTTATGCTGCGCACCCAACAGTACATTGAGATGATGCGCACCACGTCGACGTCCAAAATGCTCGAGGCTGTTGAACACGCCAAAAAATACATTACTCCCTTCAACGATACATACCCTCTTGAAGTCCAAAACATTGCAGGTCTGCTCGCCTTCACCCCGGACACCACAATTGAGCCTTATGTTTCGCTGTATAGTCCAGCAAGGTGGCAAATGCTAGCAGATATCTTTACTGAAGCTCACCTCAAACTGCTGAGCTTGCCAAATATCCCATTGCTGCATGTGGCCTTGTCATCGGGCTTGTCAGCACTCAAGACCCCGGCGTGCCATAGTCACCAACAAAACCAGACAGACAATCACAACACTTCAAGTCTGACAACCAGCGTGTGTCCTATTTGTTCGACGGAGCTCAACGCTTTGGCACGCAATGTGCCGTATGCCCACCACAGCAAATCCCACTTGTTGGAGCATGATCTGGTCCTATTACCGAACGGCAGAGTCTACGGTAGGAGCAGGTTAGATGAGTATGCCGCTAAGAGCGGTTTACCAGCTGGACAAGTGAAGGATCTGGTGACGGGGGAGCTGTTTAGTGCTGAGAAGTTGAGGAAGGTCTTTATTACTTGAAGCGGAGGTAAATTTCTGTCTTTTTGTGCATTTTTATCAGGCGTTTGGAATTCTGGGGTATCATGAAGCGGATTTGGAGTTTATTGTTTTGTCACACATACGCACAGCACAGTCTCAGTAGCGGAAACAAGTTATAAAGTAATGGATCGCACACGAGGAGGTTCTACACTCCCATCCTGTGATAATCAGCCCCCTTTTCCCATGCCACCGCTTACGTCATTACCACCTTCTAAGCAAGCCACATAACCCACCACAACCAGAACTTCTCTCGCCCAAGACACACTCAGCCCTATTTAGATTTGAATAATGTTTCCACTCATTGTAAAATGACACACTAACAGTCCCCATAGCGTAGTGGTCAGCGTTTGTGTGCTTTATCCCCAGCGTATATATTTATCTAGCGATTTGATTTAGGGCTGCGAAAGACATCGGTTCGAATCCGACCGGGGGACTCTTTTTTCTTTTCTTCTTTTCTCTTTTTTTCTTTTCTCTTTTTTTCTTTTCTCTTTTTTTCTTTTCTCTTTTTTTCTTTTCTCTTTTTTTCTTTTCTCTTTTTTTCTTT